TATATATATAAACAGCCAAAATATCAAGAATAACATCACTAATAAACACACAACTCGTCACACTCCAGAAATGGAACAGGGATATTACAGGATATCAAGAGTGAGAACAAGTGTGAGACGAAGAAAGGAATTACTATGTGCATTTATGGGGGGTGTAACTCAGTGTTCTCCTGGGAAAGCCGTGTGTGTGTGTGTGTGTGTGTGTGTGTGTGTGTGTGTGAGGAGGTAGAGAAACTGTGTCTCTAGGGAGCAGCTGCCACTGCACTGATATACCACAGACTAATCAGACACGTGGCACGAGGAATTCAATTAACACACACACACACACACACACACACACACACACATACACATACACGCACATCTCCAGTCCATACACTCACTGCATTTCCTAATTCAATACACACAATTCCATTACTTTAAATTGGATAGTAAAATGAGGCACACAACAGAGAAATACAACGCTAACTCATCAAGGCTTATTATTTCCAACCAAAATAGAAACATTCCAATAAATAGCAAGGGATTTGAATCCCAGTGTCCCTGATGCTTATCTCGGTGACCTTTCACCTTTCATTTCTCACCTTAGGACTACCCTCATGCCCTGTGTGAACATCACTGTTATGTACAGCTCAGAGTCACAGGTGAAACGCCTCCTCATCAGCATGCTTCACTATTAATAACTGTGGATGGACTTGAGGAACCCAATGAGGTGTGTCCCAGACACTGATGGAGTGAGTGAGCGCCAAGGGAAAACACAGATGGAATAAAGCAGTTCTTTTAAGAACTATTCACTGAAAGGTTCTTTGAGGAAACAAAAATTGTTCTTCTATGGGTTGTTGCTGCCAAAACCTCCTTTTGGAACCTTTATTTTTAGATGCTTCTGAGTGTCCATAAAAACTGATCCATATATACATTTTCCCCATAAAGTCTAAGAGAAGGACACATCAAAGACTCTACCCATAGGGTAAAAATGTATATGGATGCTTTCTATCCTTTCACAGCAGATGTCATTGAGCAGACACTATCCTGTCTTTAAACACACGAGCCTCTTAACAACCTCCCTTGAGACGTCTCAGAGAGCACAGAAGGGAGATGGCCATCAATGCTTTCAGGTCAAAGAAAGGAAATATTAAGCAGCAGTAAAAAATAACGGCACCATAACAAAAGACATTTAAACAGCTGTTTGGTCTGCAGGCTGAAGTGCGAGATGAAATGAGAGGGAGGAGCATATTAAACGTGTTCTGTTGACTCGTCTGCTGTTTAGAGTCTCGATTTATTTATGAATCATTGTGGAAACAATAATTAGACGATTTATGCTGTAGATATGCCTCTTAGTAAAACCAAATCACATTTACATTTAATTAAAAAACATTTTTTTTACATAAAATGTGAGTTTTAAGAAGTGTATGATCATGAGATACTTATATGGACAAACATGCAAAAAATAAAAATGTACAATATTTATTTGTATGTGTGTGTGGGCGGGGGGTCACTGGTCATCCATCGCAAATATTCAATGGATAGTGCAATATTTCAATTTAGCTACATTGGGGAAGATGTTTATCTGTGCCCAATTATCATACATTAGCATGCATTAGCACACATTAAAATTTCCTAAAGTGAATTAGATTGGGCCATACGGAGACTAGTTCCGTCAGACTTCTTTGTTCACTGGTGCATGTTGTAGAACACACAGAATTGCACAAATCTAAATGCAAATCAATTAATAGTACCATTTCTAATAACAAAAACAATATTGAGAGTGTGCACAAGGGAATTTGTTCCATGTTAAACAGAAATGAAGAAACTGATGAACACACTTGTAATTATGCCCTAAATGAAATACATTAAAGACATCATTAACCAATCTAACACGGAGCACAAGCACACATAGAAATCAACATTTCCTCCATGAGATATAAATGTCTTATTGTTCTTAATTTGTAAAGCAGCTTCATTTTTTTTGTATATGACCTATAAAGACCACAGCACACAATGGTTAATGTGTATGATGTTACTGGGACTTTGCATTTTTGTTTTGATTTCAGACACGTGTAGGAAAATCTCCTCCAGCCGTTCCACACCAGCTGCACTGCTGATAACCATTACCGATCAGCCATATGTGCTGTGACGGAGGATAGAGAAAGAAAGAAAGAAAGGAGTAAACGTGCTTGTGTGTGCCAGTGTGTGTGTGTGTGTGTGTGTGTGCGTGAGCAGAGAGAGAGTGAATGAGAAGAAAGGAAAAAGGGGAGTGAGAGAGAAACTACTGTATCCACAGAAAACAATAAGGTACAGCAGGGTAAAAGTTTACTTTAAAAAAATGCACATTTTTTTTCTGGTCACGTGATTTACAATAATCAAATGAATATATTTGTTTTAATTGACTATTGAGTTACATTACAGTTCAACATTTTTTTAATGTTTTTGAAAGGTTACCAAGGCAGCATGTATTCGATCAGTAATACAATAAAGCAGTAATATTGTGAAATATTATTACAATTTAAAATAACTGGTTTCTATTTTTTATATTTAAATTATAATTTACTACTGTGATGCAAAGCTGAATTTTCAGTACTCCAGTCTTCAGTGTCACATGATTCCTCAAAACTCAATCTAATATGCTGATTTGCTACTCTAGAAACATTTCTTATTATTTTCAATGTTGATCTTTTTTTTTTGTGGAGATTCTTGCCATGCTGTACTCTGTTTACCTGCAAACATTAAGGTAATATGAAATGCAGAGCAGAGAGAGAGTGAATGAGAAGAAAGGAAAAAGAGGAGTGAGAGAGAAACTACTGTATCCACAGAAAACAATAAGGTACAGCAGGGTAAAAGTTTAAACTTTTTTCTGGTCACGTGATTTACAATAATCAAATGAATATATTTGTTTTAATTGACTATTGAGTTACATTACAGTTCAACATTTTTTAAATGTTTTTGAAAGGTTACCAAGGCAGCATGTATTCGATCAGTAATACAATAAAGCAGTAACATTGTGAAATATTATTACAATTTAAAATAACTGGTTTCTATTTTTTATATTTAAATTATAATTTACTACTGTGATGCAAAGCTGAATTTTCAGTACTCCAGTCTTCAGTGTCACATGATTCCTCAAAACTCAATCTAATATGCTGATTTGCTACTCTAGAAACATTTCTTATTATTTTCAATGTTGATCTTTTTTTTTGTGGAGATTCTTGCCATGCTGTACTCTGTTTACCTGCAAACATTAAGGTAATATGAAATGCAGTTGGCTGGAAGGTTGGAAGTAAAATGAAGAGCAAGAAAGAAGGACATGAGGCAAAGGAAGAATGATAATCCTGTTTTTTCATTACTGTCAAACCTCCATCTCATTATGGCTATGAAACAAAGAAAAATTCCCCTCTCTTCTTCAGGTGCAAGAAAATCCTGGAGTGTGGCATCATTCTTCTAAACTAAAGTAGGTTTGTAGGGTATCAGAATAAACCTCTCCATCATCAACACACAAACAGCACAGTAAAACAGTCTATACAATAGAATCATGTGCACTCTTTAATAGATCGGATGTCACTAAAACACCAAAGTCTGTTATTCAGAAAGAGTTTGGTTGTCACAATAATTGGCTGACATGTGTTAGAGCACTTTAACATACAGTCACCATGTTACAGTAAGCATCTACAGACTATTCAATGACAATTAAATATTAAGTGCATGCTAGTCATTACTATTACTTAGTGCTTACAGTAATTATTACACTATTAAATGGACACTAATGTAAGAGTGACCTGAATTAAGTGAATAATTCATTTAGTCTCCTAAAGCCACTCAGGTTATCAGTTAAGTGGGCTGTGTTTACAAAACAAAACTAAGTTTCATATGAACATTTTATTTAACGTATAAAAAAAATTAAAATGTTTGGTGTCAGTAACACTTTAGAAACACAAAGAAATTAATACTTTAATCCAACAAGGATGCATTAAATTGATCAAAAGTGACAGTAACAACATTTACAATGTTACAAAAAAAAAAGTCACAAAAATATTAAGCAGCACAACTGTTTTCAACATTGATAATAATAAGAAATGTTTCTTCAGCTGCCAATCAGCAAATTAGAATGATTTCTGTAATGTTATGTAATGAGTAATGATGCTGAAAAATTCAGCATTTTTAATAAATTACAATGTAAAATATATTAAAATACCTTAAACTGCAATATTTAACAATATTAGTGTATTTTTGATCAAATAAATGCAGCCTTAATAAGCATAAGAAAAGAGAGAGAAAAAAAAGAATACATTTCCCCCCCCCAATTTAAAACATTTATACTAGTGAAACTTACAGTCTCAGTGCAGTATGAAATGACACATATCAGGTAAAGAGCCATTAAATATCTTATGTTCACCTCTACGTCCTCAAAGCCTACAATCCTCACAACACACTAGCACACACTAAATTTGCACACATTTTGGGCATCAACTGTCTCCAACTGCTGTATTAAACACAATAAAGTTAATAAATAGTGCCAACAATGACACTAACAATAATGAAACTACAAAAGTATGTTCTTTTTATAATTTCTGCTATGCAAAGACAACTACACAGTTAAGACCAAAATCAGTACTCACTTTGCTCAGTTTGACAAAATTCAAAAACTCAATTCCAAAATTGTTTTCATTTTAGTTACCACATTTTGTCCTCGTTTGGTAAAGCAGTGAAGCACAAGTTAGCCATCATCTTGATCACTGATTTGACTCAAGTGGTGTTTTTGAGTGCTGACCTAATTAAACAATGTTAATCTGATTAGCCCAGTGACCTCTCCCCTACTGACCATCATACACACACTCACATCTTTAACAAACCCCCTGCGGCCACCACACTTGTTGATAGTCTGAAGAGTTCACCGCAAGCATAAAAGCACTCATGATCACTACAGGCCACACTCAAAACAAGCTGAAGACAAGAACGGACAAAGATTGCAGCTGTTGTTGCTGCTATTGTTCATTAAACATAACTTCAACAACATTTGTGCTTTCAGTGTGCTGGGTTTATACTCATGTGGACGTGCTGTGGTTCGCTAGACGTCTCTGTGGTGGATTAAATATTTAGGGTTTCTATGAAAAGAACTGAGGGCCTTGTTTTAGATGCCCTCCGACTTGGAACAAAGCGGAAATTCTGACTAATCCACTCATATAGCCAAAGGCACCTGCCTGTCAGCTCCTATTCTTCTTACAGCGTGCATGGAAAAAACAACACACAGACGCACACGCAAAAGTTTCCTTATTCATACAGATACACAAAACGATTTCATCTTAAAATGTTCTCTTAAAGGGAAAGTTCACCCCAAAATGAACATTCTGACATCATTTACTTACTCTTACGTCTTTCCAAAAACAAAACCAAGGTTCCAAAAGGTTTTTTTTCACAGCAATGCCATAGAAGAACCATTTTTGGGTCCCCAAAGAATCGTTTAGTGAACAGTTCTCAAAATAATCTTTTCCAATATAAAGAACAATTTGTGGAATGGAAAGATTCCATTAATGAAAATGTTCTTTGTGGAAGCACAGATGCCAATAAAGAGAGTGTATATGACTTGCTTTCTTCGGTACAAGACAAAACAAGATATTTGAAGCACACTTCTTTCCATAAATTGTCAACTGGGAGCCAAACTACATTGGACCCCATTGAATTTCATTGTATAGAAAAACCAACAAAGCACAGAGATCCACATAAGCATTACATCAAGGATAGTAAATAATGACAATTTTAATTTTTTTGGGGTAATCTATCCCTTTAAATTTAACACAATATACATATTTAAGCACATGCACACTATTTTTGTTCTTACACACACACCATAGATGCCAATAAAGATCCTTTATCTTAAGAGTGTATATGATTTCTCTGCAACACAAAACAAGATATTTGAAGCGCATTTTCCCCCATAAATTACCAACTGGTAGTCAAACACCATTGACTTTCATTGTATCTGCATAATAAACACTTATTTCAAACAGGTTCAAAATTACATCAAGGAGAGTAAATAAAGACAATTATCATTTTTGGGTAATCTACCCCTTTAAATATAAATTATAATGTTCCCTATCACAATATACACATTTAACCACTTTCACATACTATTTTTCTTCTCTCTCTCTCGCTCTCTCACACACACACACACACTGAGGGCTCACCGCGATCCGCAGCAGCGTCCCCTTCACTGATGCCCATCTGTCTTGCCGCCGGTCAATGACCAGGATGAAGCCGACCCCCGTTGAGCGGAGACTGAAAATCAGAGAGACACCATCACCATGGCAGGAAACGCACACACACACACACACAAATCATAAACATTGAGATACTGAAGATGTCACATACCCTAAAGTCATCATTAAGCAGTTTTCTACTAACTAACCAACATCAGACTGACAAAGTAACCAGCACACGGTGCATTGCAAACCATTATTTTATCCACACATACACATCTGCATTTGCCCCGACAGACAAGATGAATGCATAACATGTCCAAATGCAAATTAAAACCCACAGACGTACGTTGAAATGCACTAGCCCAGAATGCAATCGTGGTAACGTAGCGCAGAGATGCTGAGCTGGTTGCTATGTCCATCACCGTACAAAACGGCAGCTCTCTGCACCAGCAGTATCAAGCTGTTTTATGATGACTGAGGCAGCAGAAAAATCCAATTACATACTCCTGATATTAAAAAACAAACAAAGCATGAATGTGCAGAATCCACCCCGAATGCTGATATTCCAGGCGTCCTTCAGCAGATTTCAGTGTACACAGATGGCTTCCCCTCCGTTTCTTTCTTCCCTTCAATGCACCTTTGCTTACAGCCCCTCTGTTTATGGTTCCATTTGAATGAGTGCCACCGTAGGCACAGACTGGGAGAGCAGCTACATTTTGCCTCCCCCTCTACAGCGACCAATCGTGCAGCATCAGGTGCTCCCTCTCAACCAATCAGAGCTCAGGAGAGAGCTGACGGACAGCTGGGCTCTTGAACTGCTAATATGGAATGTGGGCGGGAGATAGGTGCTGATTGATAATGAAAGCTCCTCCTTCTAGAAACTGGCACTGCAGATACTTGTGTATCAAATCTGCCGCCATTACAGTGACACACAGATTGTGTGTCACTTTTTCTGGCTCCCGCCTTTTCCACCAAATTTCACACTCCCGTCCCTTTTCTCTGCTCTCAATCCCACCTCCTATTCCCCCCTCTCAGCCTCCGGCTGTTTTTCTCAGGAATGTTTGTTCTCCGCTCCTTTCACATCGGAGGGCAGGAGGAGGAAGCAAAGGAGAGCGATGCAGGGGTCTTATCAGCTGACAAAGCCCTGGTGCAGATCTGCATTGACACATTGACTAATGACCTTGAATGTTCATCAGTAATAAAGATAAAAAATCTGATTACAATCATCACTGCAATTTTAACCTTCCATTCAAAGCCATCGGGTGGTTCACTACACATGATTTATGGTCATACTGGTGCTTAGTCTAATAAAGTTTTTAATTATTGTTCTCTGTTGTTAGTGCATTGTGTTAAGACTGCAAAGTAATATTTAAAATTTTTCCATATACTAGATGGGATGAAGATTTATTTAATACAGCACATTTGCATTTTCACTGTTACAAAAACATAACCTCAGGATATTTGTGTTTGACTGTAAATTGCAAATATTTAATAATATTACATTTAACATTGTAGATGTTTTATTAGAAACCACAAAACAAATTCAGGACCACGTCTTGCTTACAAATGAATCTTTGAATAATGATTTCAAATTTTACAAACACATATTGAGGTCATATTTCACTCAATACCTATCCATCCATCCATCCATCCATCCATTCATCCATCTATTAATCTTAATTCTAGGTAGTTTTTACATTTTTATTTTATTATATATTTTTACTTTGCATTACAGTATGAGAATTAGTTTTCATTATAAGAATTTGAATTTTGTGGCTAAATGTACTTAATGTCACAATGCAAAATATCTTTATGGTTTTAAGCAAAGTAGTATAGTAATTCTCCCATTTCTTTTTCTTTTGTGTTATAATATGACTAGGACACATTCTTAAGGGGGTTTCATGACTTTCGCCCCTTTAGTCCATGAGCTGCTGTATTTTGCTCCTGAACTCCTTTCATTTACCAAATCAGAACTAAATTAAAACCCCATCAGCCATTTTCAGCATGAAGAAATCTATCTAATTACTCAATCACCCCCTCTCTCTCGGTTTCTCATGGGAATAATGTGGAAACAAGAGGTGGAGAGAGTGTGTGTGATGGAAAGGACCAGAATCCCACTTTCATTAGAATATTAACAAGGGCTGTTCAATTAAAGAGGATTTCACAGGATCAGCAAATACACCAATGCACCAGTGAACTTTCACAGGGATTAACATAAAAAAAATTAAATGATATACATGCAAAGAACATCTCTAGGTTATTTATTGATATGAAGGCATCTTCGGGTCAATAATAATGTACTTCCCTGAGAAAATCATGTATTCAAATTACTCACAAACTAAGAATGCATATGTAAAACAAGGGGCATTAGGATCACCTTGTTAATCATGTACATAATTACACATTCTAATTTAATATGTATGATGAATATTAATGAGGTAGCAGTCACACACACACACACACACACACACACACACACACAAGCAAGCAGGCAGTCATGACTCAAATTCATTGAATTGCAAACAGCATGATGTGCTGCAATGGGAAAGCATTAGAGTGCCCTCTACGGTCCAATTCAAGAAATAAAACAACCCCACCAAAAATATTTCTCATCTACCAGTAGTTTATCATCAACAGTGCAGTGATGTGACTAAATAAAGATGATGTCATCATAAATCAAATACATACGATGTTTTCTATTGTTAAACAAAAATAGTTTCAGATAGGCTTTACTAAGTGTTACCACATTTTTTGACCAATGAACTTTCATGACATTTCCAGTCACTCATCAACGCTGGATTTTAAATCATGTTACAGAGATTGGAGTGTATTTATATGTCAGGATTAGTGCTATAAAACGATTAATCGCATCCAAAATAACGGTTTTTGTTTACATAATATATGGGTGTATTGTGTATATTTATTATGTATATACTGTATAAATACACACACATACAGCATATACTTTATATTGTGTATTTACATGTATATATTTATATTCATATAATTTATATATTTAATATATAAATGTACAATTTTTCATAAATATATACATGCATGTGTTTATTTATATTTACATAATAAATATACAAAGTACACACACATATATTATGTAAACAAAAACTATTTTTGGAATGCGATTAATCGTTTGACAGCACTAGTCAGGATGCAATTTTTGGAATTAATAGATTGAATTACACGTTTCCAATAACAGCATCAATGGACAGACTGATGTTATCACACCGGTTTGCATGCACATCTACTTTGTAAGCACACACAAAAAGCATCTAGCCAATAAATAAGGACTTTTCCAGGTTTGGGAGAAAAACATTTTCAAATGCCCTGATCAAAGACCCTGGTTACTTTTTTTTTTTTTTTAAGTGCTGGTAATGACTGATCCTTCCACCTCCCATTTTCTCACCTGGGAATGCTAGTCAGGTACGTCAGGACGTTGAGAAACTCCTGTTCCTCCAGCTCACCAAACGCCGGGTACTCTGGGAATATAATGATGGGGCTGCCATTCGGTCCTCGGCCACCTGGAAATGCAGATTTGGAAGAAGGCAGCTGTTAGCAATTCTGTTTAAGATGCAGTATGAAAACGAATCACAATTTTATTCTGTTAAGCCCTGTGATGCATATAAGTTATGAAACCCTGCATATTCAGAGGGAGAATTGTCTATAACCAGTGACCTTGAAGCTGCAGTAAACTCCTGAACTAATCTGAAATAGTTTACAGTCAGACTGATCAGGAAATATAATAATCCAGCAGCACTTCTGCATTTAAAAAGTCTTCTACCCACAAGAGGGCACTTCTACAGCTTCCCATTTACAGCTTACACCGAGAAAGACAGAGACTGCGTACATTCACAGAAGAATGATTGTAGCTATTACCAACTGCATAGATGCATCAAGGACATGAGGCAAAATCAAGGGCACAATGCAACGGCATGAGGACAAAACCTTCAAATCTCCTCTTTTCCTGTCATTGAGCTTTGCCTTACAAATACAGATGAGACCATTCGAAAACACAGAGAGATAAACATCATATTAATCATTACTGGGGCTACAGATATAGTCTGTGTGTGAGTGAGAAAGAGAAAGACAGAAAGGGAAAGAGGAAGAAGGACATGTTTGGTGCAGTGACAGAGGTCATGTGACCGTGTGTGTATTTGGATGCTACGACACTCTGTGATTAATAGAGCAGGACGGATCCACTGCAGAGCTCACTCATATTAACACCTCTATGACTGTCACTGTCACACACACACACACACACACACACACACACAAGATGAAAAGGACACTGCTGTTGCATTTGTAACCATCAGTAGGGCAAACCCAAAGAGCTCCAGTCCATCTGGACCAGGTGAGAGAGAGAGAGAGAGAGAGAGAGAGAGAGAGAGAGAGAGAGAGAGAGAGAGAGAGAGAGAGAGAGAGAGAGAGAGAGAGAGAGAGAGAGAGAGAGAGAGAGAGAGAGAGAGAGAGAGAGAGAGAGAGAGAGAGAGAGAGAGAGAGAGGGTCACTCTGCAACATTATACTACAACATGCAATCCAAAAGGTGAAGAGTCATTCATCATCTTCAACAAACAGACACACCATACAAAAAAAAAAAGATTTAAATTAATTTGAATATAGTAAAATTTAGTATATTAGAGTTGACTTGAGCATAAAAGGGTAGAATAGGGATTTAGTAGAATTGAGTATATTAGAGTTAAACAGAAGAATGGAGTATAAGAGAAGAACAAGAGTAGAGTACAATGGAGTGTAAACATGTAGAACAGAGCAATACAGTTGAGTAGAATGGAATATAACAGAGTAAAATATAGCAAAATAGAGTACACTAGAGCTGAATAGAGTAGAATGGCAGTATATGGGTAGAACAGTAGAATGAAGTAGAATATAGGATAATGGAGTATATTAGAGTTGAACAGTAAAAACAGCAGTAGAATAGTAGAATGAAGCAAAACATTGTTAAATACAGAAGAATAGAGCTGAATGGTATAAACTAAATTAACAGACGGGAAATAGAATAGAATGTAGTAGAAAAAAAGTACAATCAGAACACAAATACAGACCCAAGAAATCTAGAACATGGACAACATTAACAGAAATGAGATAAAAACACTCCACCAAGGGCTTTCATCCCAATCTCACCAACTGGGTGACTTTAGTTTCCGGTGTTTCCATCAGACACACACACACACACACCCTGTATGATAATGATAATATCAGACACAGGCCTCTGCAGCCATCTGGGAGGGAAAAAAGTAGGACCAGAAAAGAAAATAAGACTAAAAGAGCAAAAAGGAAATGAAAACATGAAAAAAACAGAAGGAGCGTCTAGCAGTGGAGGTCTGTCATTAAATCTAGGTGGAGAACTGGGGCATGAGACCAGAGCAACATGTTCAACATGGCAACAAACACACAGAAATAAAATCAGTGCATATGCTACATGGACATACATACACACACAATGCATAAGCAATCGCTCAATTATTCATGTGGCACTAAATAGTGAATGCTCTATACTGGGATGAAGCTAACACAAATGAGGGAGCAAATCTTTGAAGCAAAAACTATTTGGACAATATTTGAAGCTTTCCATATTGCAAGAAGTGCAATGAGTACATCAGCTATACTCTATAAATGCTTTTTATAGAGTAACACATTTTTCCCCAAAAAAGGGAAACAAATTGTCCACTAAAAATTCAGACAACAGAATAAAATGGGCATCACTCCACATCGTGTCATACAAAATTGGGAATAGGAAGCAGTTTTTTTGAAGTCACAAGGCCATCAGTTAACAGAAACCAGAAGTGCAATGCTAATCTTTTTTTTCTTTTTATTTGAATATCCTTGTTTCTTCAATGATGCAACTTGGCTGTTCACTCTTCTAGCAGTATTGTTGTAAATGTTTCATGGCATGTATAATGCATGAGTTCAGAGTTACGTTTGTAAATATTCAGAGACTCTCTGATGCAATGAAGGCATGAGTTGTTTTTTTTATAGAAAACCTGAATCCCAATCTAATCCTCTTATTCACTATAAAGCTCTTCTATAGACCTCACACACAGCCTAACTGTCAATCAAATATCCTCGCAAAGCACGTCAAGCGCATCGTCATGGCAACACTAAATAATTAAGAGGCTTCCTCCAGTCAGGTGTTATCCTGGGCAACCTGAGCCGAGCCCTAACTGGGTTATTTACGGAGACTGGAGAGAGTTTCTGGAGTGTTATTAAGTGACTGGGTGTTTATGTGGAATCTGTGCACGTTCTGAATGAATCTGCTGTTGACGCTGTGAAAGCAAACGTTTATACATAATCTGTCACATATTCACTTCTGACTCACACGGCACATGTGAAACAGGACAAATCATACTCATGATACTGTCAAAACGCTATACATATAGTTCATTAGATCAGTGATTAAGTGAGGTATTCACTTCCTGTAGCGGACACATTTGCACTAGAAACAGCGGAGTGAATGAGAATGTCAGCATTGAGTTTTTACATGCACTTTTTTTTTTTACACAATTACGCTTAATAACATGGAACTACAGGAAGTGAATACATTTTAACATTGAACATGCATACTGTTTTTCAAAAATTTGGGGTCAGTATGATTTTAAATTAATACCTTTATTCTGCAAGGATGCATTAAATTGACCAAAAGCAAAAGTAAAACATTTAATAATGTTACAACAGATTTATATTTCAAATATTTTTTAAGGAATCCTGAAAAAAAATGTATCACAGTTTCCACAAAATTATTAAGCAGCACAACTGTTTTCAATATTGATAAGCAGAAGCAAATCAGTATATTAGACTGATTTCTGAAGGATCATGATGCTAAAAAATAAAGCTTTGCATCACAGGAATAAATTACATTTTAAAATATATTAAATTAGAAACCAAGTATTTTGAATTGTAATAATATTACTATTTTTACGGTGTTTTTGCTCAAATAAATGCAACCTTGGTAAAGATATGAGACTTCTTTCCAACACGGGGGAAAAAAAGTTATGTAAATGCATAAAATTGTGTTCTTCACGTAAAGGTGATAATGACGTCCTAATTATGTTTTGTTGTACATCTAAACTTATTTAATGATGATCAATCTGATGAAGCTTTCAGAATCTCTCATAGTGAGCACAGTCTTTATTGGCAAAGCATTCTGGGATTGATTGTGTAGGAGACTCACCTGACAGGAAGGCGAATTGTTTCCTGAGGTCTGGGCTGATGTCTGCAGCATACAGAGGACTGCTCTCCTGCTGCATAATCTCATCTGTTTGAGAAACAGAGATTTAGTTAATAAACATTTTACCATAAATAAGCAAAAAAAAATGTGTTTCCCATGTTAATGTTTATGGTTATACCACACAATTTAATTGACACACAGTGACACATATGTGCTTCTAGGTTATGGTGCAGATGGCATGGTTCTGATCAGAGTCTGAGAAGAGCAGCTGGATGAATGGATGTAGATGAGATTGGATGGAAGAGTGTTTGAATGCATTTAAGATGGAAGAGAAGTTGGTTGGATGGATGGAGACGAGAAGGTGAAAACAGAGAAAAGAGGAAGATAAAGTATTTTCTCAGTGCATCCGGAGATGATGGATTATTGTAAGCAGCTTTTGAGAGTCTTCAGCCGCTGCGGTGTGTGTATGAGTCACTGCTGTGGTGCAGCACATGTCTCTCACGCTCAGAGCCAGACTATATGACTTTTAGATATGTTCTCATGGTGCAGGTCAGAATCTGAACACATGTTGGTCTGAATAAAGGTGAATCAGCCCACTGTGAACAGATGAATCCAAAACAAACCCAGAACACATGATCCACCATGACAAATGTCTGGCACAGTGCCTATCAGCAAGGATAAAGCAACAGTTGGAAACAGCCATACATACTTTCATCTGTCTTTCCTGCTGTTACCTAGATGCTTGGGACCTTAAGAAATCTGAATTAGAGCTCTTGAACTCAGCAAGAGCTGAGTATTTAAGTAGGTCACAGATAAACATTCAACTCACAGTACTGTGAGTGGGCTTACGGATTTCATCATTAAATTTATTTTTCCATTAGTTTTGCTGCAGAAGCTTTATAGAAACTCATTGGACTGTAGGTTTGTACTGTACAAATGTTAGAAAGTAAACAAGACAAATTCTGATAAAATCCCCCCATCTGGGTACCAACAGAAGACCACATTCATCTGTGCAAAAGACCATCTGGTTCGTCAACATGCAGGGTAGGATGGCTTTTGCTGCTCTAGCCACACCTGTGGCTTTTGCCATGCCATGCCTGCAATTCAATTCAATTCGATTCGATTAAAAAACAAAACAGATGAAACAAACACCAAACAAAATTAAATTAAACAAAACAGAAACAAAACAAATGAAACTAACTAAAACCAAACAAAAAAAACCAAATCAAACAAATAATCAAAAGCAAACTAAAAAAACAAAAACCAAACCAAACAAAAGCAAATGAAGCAACACAACACAACAAATGAAACATGAAAGAAAACGAGCAAAACATACAACAAACAAAACCAAACCAAACAAAAGCAAATCAACAAAACAAATAAAATGAACAAAACAGAACAAATGCAATTACTACAATATCAAGCAAAACAAATGAAATAAAACAATAACAAAAAAGCAAACAACTCAAAACAAACAGAATAAAACAAAACAAAACACAACAAACAAATGATTTTGAACTTGTAAAAAATGTATCATGTATCATGGTATCACAGGTCAAAACATGAAATTAATTAAAATAATATATATTATAAAAAATTCATAAGTATTTAAAGCATTCATTTTAATTAAATTATTCAATGTTACTATAATTAATCTTAAATCTAACATTGCAATTCCAAATGAAAGTAACAAATGTTTTATTTGCTTCCCAAAACCCATTTTTACTCACATCTGACACTTGCCATGTGTTAATTTTGGGCTGTGATGCACTCTACCCATCAACACTCTCATCCTTACTGTAATTTCTATTACAAGTTACTTTTGATTATAATGTTATGCTATATTGTCTATAAGAATCAGCACATTTGACAAAGCGATAAACTAATCTAATCTCCTCACACAGGAAATGCCCTTCTTTGAAAGCTGTGGAGTACAGTGGAGAAGCCTTTAGGAGAAGATAAGGCCTCTTTGAAGTCAGATGGACAGTGACGTAAGACCTATTACAACATTACAGAAAAACACTCTGGCTGCTCACCCTGTTATTAAGTTTCTGTAAAGTTCAATGATATTGTGCATGCTCTTTAAATAAAGGTTCAGCATTTCTCAGAGCCTTCAATTGTTGGCCCATATAAGCACACTACCATGAACTTTAAAGTTCAGCCCCCAAAAGGTCAATGACTTGCTATACTGATCAACTGATCAAAACACTCCTCTTCCTTTCCCACCGCTCCACTCCCGACGTCACTGATCACAGACGAGCACCTGTTTTCACCGTTCCCAACACCCCGCCATGGCCACGATGAGCAAAAGACAGATGCTTGCAGATAAAGCGAGAGCTGTTAATCCTTTATCTACCCTGGTAACACAGACAGGGAGCTGGTAAAAGTCTGGCATGTTGCACTGATCGCAGACCACATTTAGATTAAGATCACTGTAGGATTTCTGATCTCAGTGACCCTCAGTAAGAGTGTCGCGTGACTTCAGAGACAGCTGCCACAGCCCAGGTAAAAACTGAGCTTGTGAGGTTAAGCGAAGATTCTGGCACTGAAAGATTTGCAGTTAAGCTTTAGAGACATTCAGGTAAAGGATATTTGTACTACTAAAGTTCATATATTCATAATTTGTTGCTTCAGGCTATAAGGGTTCATTCTACAGGTTCTCCAACATCACAAAGATACCATTTGATAGGAGCTAAATAATAAAAATAGACTGACTTAAAAAAACCACAAAAAAACCCCCCCAAAAAAACAAACAAGTCGAGGGAATTTATGGCCAGGCACTCCATGACAAGTTCCTCTGTGTTCCAAATTGGATTGTATTTCAAACACTATTATGCATTTAAGCAATTAGGTATGAGAGGCATTACATTGTGAATGTAGTCACGACTACAGGGCACATGACACAGACACAGAGCAATGCCAGATACCCCTTCATCTGTGAAAATATCCACAGTAAAGAACAAACTCAAATGCCTTACAGATTTTTTTTACAGTTTTAAAACTAGCAAGTAAGCAGCAAATACACACACATCCAGAGTTGGGTAGATTACTTACTAATTACTTACAAAACTTGCTCTCGTCTGAAAAGAGGACTTTGGACCACTGGGCGACCCAAATTTCTATCAATTTTACTGGTAGTCCACTGTATGAAGAAATTTTGGGTATGATATGTCACAGTTCACTTTATTTTGCTAACCTCACTTACATAAATGAACTATAGTGTCCTGCACCCACTAGTTAAAAGATATCAAAAATGATATCTGGTCTCTGAATCATTTTTGGTTTCACTGTATATCCTTCGGTTATTTTCACACTTAATTATGTCCATTAAAATGTATTTTACAAGTTTTTGTTACTTTCACTGTTCATTTTTTTGCTCTATGGTACATCATCTTTAATTTAATAGCATTAGAGCTGCTCCACTGCAGCGGCTTAGTACTGTAATCATGCGCTTTGCTGTAATAATGCAGGGAACCACTCATTATAAATCTCCTAACTGATATTTTCAGAAATAGAAGTTGCATTTTTTCATCTGAAACGTGCTGCGATTTATATTCCAAAACCACTCATATAATGCAGAAATGCTCATGAAGCAAGCAAAACACGCGCAACACGTGCAGGTATTTGTACTGATGCAGAATGAGAGGGACAAGTAGTACAGCCTAGCGCATTTCACACCGGCTGTTAGTTTCACTTTCGCCAGAAAGTCGTGTATGCCTAAGGTTGAAAATAAATTATGTTTATAGTGAATGCCCCATGAATGGTTTTATTTTTACGAGTTAGTTTTAATCCAAATGATGCGTGTGCTAAGTGAGTGAACATCAAAGATCACACAACAGAATTGCGCGGGCGCTCTCTCTCTCTCTCCCTACCTACCGTTAAGTAACTTGTGCATTGCTTTAATTCCTTGTTTTTGACACATCCGACCGAACTACAAACTTTCCAGTGATGTCTGTGAGAAAGCAAGGTATGTTCACTCGACAAGCTCGTGCATCTGCGCCGCCGCGTGCTCAATCCACTCAGCATGCTTTGTTTATCAACTTGCGCACATCAGCAATACTGGCGTTAATACTGAATGTTTAACATTATATTCATTGCATACATATACTTCGAAGTAGTCCTTAACTCCTTTCTGCTGTATGTTGTCGGTGTTTCTTTATTTGAATATGGCGCTTATCACATGCTGTGTGGTATCGGCGTTTGGTATCGGGGCATCAAGGTATGTTCACTCGACAAGCTCGTGCATCTGCGCCGCCGCGTGCTCAATCCACTCAGCATGCTTTGTTTATCAACTTGCGCACATCAGCAATACTGGCGTTAATACTGAATGTTTAACATTATATTCATTGCATACATATACTTCGAAGTAGTCCTTAACTCCTTTCTGCTGTATGTTGTCGGTGTTTCTTTATTTGAATATGGCGCTTATCACATGCTGTGTGGTATCGGCGTTTGGTATCGGGGCATTTTAACGAGTACGAGTACAGGAGACCAGTATCGGCCCGATACCGATACCAGTATGCATCCCTAATATATATATATATATATATATATATATATAGTAAAATGTAAAGTGTGTGTATTTACACAGTGCACAACATAAATGAGTACACCCCCTCCGATTAAATATAAAAGATGTATTTTCTTAATGATCACTAATATAATTCATAGAAAGATGGCAAAATTGAAATGTATTAAACATTCTTAATAAAAACAGAGAAATATATGCCATTAATATCTGGAAAATAAGAAACTTAGCCAATTTTTGAAGGATTGCAGAATTGAGTGCAACCTAGATTTAATTCAACCAAGTGTAATATTCTAGAACTTAATATGTCCTCCATAACTTTAAGTACACTGCTCTGACACTTCTTGGCACTGAGTGTACAAGTTCATGACAAATTTTCACATCTGTGCTGTTTAACTCCTGGAGGACGACCTCCTTGAATGCCCTGGTCTTTAATGGGGAGTGTTGCTCAGCTCGTCTCTACGGTATCTCTCACAGCAGCTCAAGAGTGTTAAGATTGAGTGAAATACATGTCCACTGAAGGATTTTCAACTCAGGAGAATGAATATCTTCATTGTCA